TTAAATCAATTCTGGAAGTTAGACGGGCGTGGTAGCTCATGCCTGTAATCCCAGCATTTGGGAGGCTGAGGCAGGAGCATCGTTGAGAGTTTGAGACCAGCCTGAGCTACAAAGTGAACTTGAGCTCAGCGACACAGCGCCTGCCTGGCAAGCGCAAGGTCTTGAGTTCGATTTCCGGCACCAAAAAAAAAAAAAAAAAATTTACTCAAAGTGAGTTCAAGGCCAGCCTGAACTGCATAGCGAGACCCCGCCTCAAAAGGAAAAAAAAAAAAAAACCAAAATTCTGAAAGTTAGCAGAGGGAAGCAGGTGGCAGGGGTGGTTAAGGGACCTGGCCGAGGTCCTCCCAGCAGACGCGAGGCCGGCCGCCTGCCTCACCCTCACCAGGCCTTCGCGCTCGGCGCGCACCGCTGGCTTCTTACCCCACCCCCGTCCCCACAGAGCTGCCTCCGCCCCCGGAGCTCGACGACTTGGGGTTGCCACCGCCCCCGCCTGGCTTTGGACCGGAAGAGCCCAGCTGGGCCCCCGACGCCTACTTGGAAAAAGGTTTGCCTGCACCCTTCCGTCCCCTTTACCCCCAGCATCCCCCTCCACACGCTCACGGTTGTAAACTTGTTACCCACATCCCGCCCTCCCCCCACTTTTTTTTTTTATCAGGGTCTTGTTATGTAGTGCCGGCTGGCCTTGAACACTGAGGCGACCCTCCTGCCTCGGGCTCCAGAGTGCTGGGGTCACAGGCGTGTGGTGCTCCCATTCTTTTTTTCAGGGTGTTTTTTATTTATTTATTTGATTGATTGATTGATTGTCTTTTTGAGACAGGGTCTCGCTATGCAGTTCAAGCTGGCCTTGAGCTCACTTTGTAGCCCAGGCTGGTTTTGAACTCGAAACGATCCTCCTGCCTCAGCCTCCCGAGTGCTGGGATTACAGGCGTGCACCACCATGCTCGGCTTCAGTTGTTTTTTGAGACAGGTTCGTGCCATGTAGTTTAGTCTGGCCTGGAACGCACTATGGAGCCCAGGTTGGCCTCGAACTTGTGGCAATCCTCCTGCCTCAGCCTCCCGAGTGCTGGGATTATAGGTGTGCACCACCATGCCCAGCTGAACAGAGTTTTCAGCCGAGCTGGGAAGAGAGCCGCTGGCCTGGCACTGGGCATCAGCTCACTGGGGAGGGTCCCGCAGTCTGGTGAAGCCCCCACCCCAGGCCTGCGCGCTTGCGTCCCCGTGAGGAGGGGCAGTTCCACCTCACACTCCGTTCCCCGCAGTGGTGACGCTGTACCCGTACACCCGCCAGAAGGACAACGAGCTCTCCTTCGCCGAAGGCGCAGTCATCTGCGTCACCCGCCGCTACTCCGACGGCTGGTGCGAAGGCGTCAGCGCCGAGGGCACCGGCTTCTTCCCGGGGAACTACGTGGTACCCAGCTGCTGACCTGGGCCGAGGCAGGAGGATCTCTCCTGGCCCCTCCCCATGGTCGCGGGGAGGGAGTAGCGCCCCCAGGCCTGCCGCAGGGGCCTGGAACTGGAGACCACAGCGTTGTGATCGTGTCTGCTAAGGCCCTGACCTCTGTGGGGTGGGGTCCCCAGCCCCCAGCAAGGACTCTGAATAAAGCTCTGCGACCTGCCCATCACGCCCTGAGGGGCTGGGGACAGGGATTGAATGCAGCCCCAGCCCCTCTTCCCGGACCCCGGATGGCCCGTGCCACTGCCCCCCTCGCTCTTGTGGGCCGCGAGCAATGTGCCCCCACTGTCCCCATCCACGCGGAGCAAGAGAGGGGCTGGGGATTTAGCTCAGCGGCACAGCGCCTGCCTGGCAAGCGCAACGTCGTGAGTTCGATTCCCGGTACCAGAAAAAAAAAAGAAAAGAAAGAAAGAGATCTGCACTCGGTCCCTGTCACCACCTTTATTAGCTCGGACACAGCGGATGGGCGGGCGGGCCCCCGGCTCCACTCGGAAACATCATGGCTTCTGCTCCCATGGGAAGAGGGCGGCTTTGGTGCGGTCCGGGGCTCCTGGGGCATAGCTCACGGTGGGAGGTCCCCGCCCGGCCCTGCGCTCCCTCGTGCCACCACCAGGGGGCGACGGTGTCCCCAGGCTTTATTTCCTCTGGCGGGGGCTGGGGTGGAGGGAGGAAGGCAAGAAGGCATAGCAAGCACAGAAATTGTGCAGGGTTGGCTGAAGCAGGATTGAAGGGGCCTCGAAGATTTGGGGGTCCTGAGGTCCTCTTGAGATAAGAGACGTTTTGCAGGCCCAAGGCAGCAACTAAAGCAAAAAGCTCTGCAGCTCAGCCCTTGAGCTCGCAGAGATCCTCCTGTCTCAGCCTCCCGAAAGCCAGGACGATTGGCCTGCGCCATCGCACCCCGCAGTTAAAGCTATGTGAGAAGGGAGACGCCGTTCTCGGCCCCTCCTCCCAGTTCGGAAGACAAGGTGCTTTGGAAATGCCTCTCCCGGGACCAGACTCCGGAACCGACTGGCATGGAACAGGGCGAGGCATCCGGGCTGGGGTAACTGCATAGATAGAGAGGGCTCCGGCCCCGCTCCCCACCCCCAGAGGGCCGCGGCGGCGCGGACGAGGAAGGCGACAGCCGGGGGTAGGACCCGCTGTCCTTCCAGGCCAGCCCTCCCGCGCGCGCCCCCTGCCGGCCGGCCGGCTCAGCACGCCTTGAGCACCTGCTGCAGATGCAGGCGCACGTCGGCGGCCGTGTCCCAGGGCACCACGCAGGCGCGGACGGAGCTGGGCTCGGCCTTCTGCGCCTCCTGGATGAGCCGGTGCATGGGGTAGCCGCGGCGCGGGAAGGCCACGTCGCCGCCCGCCAGCAGCCCCACGGGGCAGAAGTCGTTGGCGCCGTCGCCCACGTAGAAGAGGCGCTCGAAGTGCACGCCGTCGCGCGCGCGCTCGCGCAGGTAGTCGCCGAGCGCCTTGTGCTTGCACATGTTGGCGGGGCAGCGCCCGCAGCCGTGCGTGTGGAAGGGGCGCAGGGCCAGCTGTCCCCGCGCGTCGGGCCCCGACGGGTTGCTCAGGATGCGGCGGAACAGGCCGTGGTGGCCGGCGGCGCGCAGCCTGCTCTCCACGCCGAAGGTGTTGGCGTCGGAGATGAGGATGACCTCGAAGCAGGAGCCCTGCTTGGCCACGAACTGCAGCAGGTCGCCCATGCCCGGCGACAGCGGGATGGCCTCGTAGACGGCGCGCAGGTCCCGCGGCCGCACGCCCTGCTCGCCCAGGTACTGGAACACGCGCTGCATGTACTCGTGGTAGAAGCCCTCGCGGTAGGTGGCGCGCAGGCTCTCGGGCAGCTGCTGGCCCGGCGCGGCGCGCACGATCGAGTCGTCGCTGTTCTCGTCCACGATGGTCTCGTCGAAGTCAAAGGTCAGGAGGAAGCGCGGCGCGCCCTGTGCGGCCATCCTGCCGTCCTGGGAGCAGGGGGGACAGGGGGAGGAGGAGGGGACAAGCGAGAGGGGGCGCGGCGGAAGGCGGCCGCGAAGGAGCTGGTTAGCAGGCCACGGCCAGGGGCGCTGGCACGTCCACGACCTGAGGAGGACCCGGGGCTGGGTAAGTGGGGGGCAGTGGTGCCGCCACTCGCAGCCCGCCGCCCGTGCCCTGCCCCGCCCCCTCAGGGGAGGTGCTGGGCTTCTGCCCCGTGAGGAAGCCCCCGGAAGGGCTTCCCTCGCTCCTGATCTGCCACTCCCTTCCAGGGCCCTGCGACTTAAGTGTCAGCCTCAAACAGGGAGGGAGACCTGGGCCCCGCGATGCTTGGGGACTGGAGTGTGGGGAGACACCCGTTCCCTTTCTCCCTCATACAGCGGAGCTGGGCAACCGCACATGTGCCAGCTAGAGCAGCCCCCTGTTCTCCCTTCGTCCCGTGGGCTCAGGGGCCTTGGGCCCCAGGGCAGGCTCCTTGGTGTCGGCACCGGCTGCAGAGCCAGCTCCCGGGTGGGTGGGAGTCAGGCCAGGCGGGAGAGCCAGGGCCCTGGACTCCAGGCTTCAGCCCTAGCCGTGACCAGGTGGCTGCCCGGGAGCTGCTGCAGCCAGAGGTGCTGGGCAGGGCCCTGCGGGGGGACAGGGTTCTCCACGGCTCCGCAGGGCCCTGTGCCACAGCGCACCCCTGATCACTTGCCAGTTCCCCTGGAGGAGCGGGGCAGCGGGTGGGGCTGCCAGAGTCCGAAGCAAGCGGCCAGCAGGAGGGCGAGGGGAGGTAGCAGCCAACCGCGCCAGGCCACGGCACACCTGGGGGACAGGTAGGGCAGAGGAGAGAAGGCGGCAGTGGCTGAGAAGGCAGAGGGGGGGACGGGGTGTCGAGGAGGAAGTCGTGCTAGGGGACTGTGGCAGGAGACTGCCGCACAGGAGGCAGAGCGGACAGCAAGACCTTTGACAGAGACGTGGAAGGGACGGCGGGAGACAGAGCACAGGGGGAAAGAGCTGGGCAGAGAAGGGCGGGCGAAGCCCCAGCAGCAGGTCCCTGTCACCTTTGCTTGCCAGCCGCTGAGGACTAGGGCCTGTGTGGCTGCAGCACAGCCCGAGCGCTGCCCTCCGCCCACACCCTGGGCGCCCAGGCCCGGCAGACCTTGCAAACCTGGCTAGCTGCCTCCCTAACAGAACTGTCCCTTCAGTGCCGTCCCTAGAGTCAGCCTGTGTCCCAACACCCAGCTGGAGTCTGAGTGGCCTGGGATCCTCGGGGCTGGACACCTGCGACACCAGGACCCCGTACCTGGGACAGAAGCCACTGGGGGCCGGGGGCGCCCGGAGAAAGAGGGGGCTGGGGCCGCATCCCAGAGCCTGCACTTACCCTGGTCAGGCATCGCAGGCTGGTGACTGGCAGACACGCACTCATGGTCACCGGGTCACCTGGGCACCAGCTCTAGGGGCTCTGGTTTCTGTCGTCAGCTCCTGGTGACCACAAGAGTCCTTTGTCTAAGACACCCAAGCTGCTAGTGCTGCTGCCACCTCTCCCGCCCCCGGCTGTCTCAGGGACTGAGCATAAACAAGGCCTAAGGGGTTGCACAGCACACAGAGGCCGAAGCACCTGGCTGGCATCCTCTTCCAGTCCCCGGACATTTCGGGAGAGGCTGCCCATTGGAGGTCCAGACAGGTTAAGTGACCTGCCAGGTCACCCACCAGGAGGGGCAAAGAATCTAAAAAACAGGGCTGTCGGCCAGGTGTGGAGGCAGGGCTGTAATCCCAGGAGGTCTGTAATCCCAGCAAGTGGTGTAATCCCAGGAGGTCTGTAATCCCAGCAAGCCTGTAATCCCAGCAAGCCTCTAATCCCAGCAAGCCTCTAATCCCAGCAAGCCTCTAATCCAGGAAGCCTCTAATCCCAGTATTTGTGAGGCTGAGGCGGGAAGGCCAGCCTGCAGTACAAAGTGAGACTTTGATTCAAAACACAAGAAACTGGGCGTGGTGGCACATGCACTCGGGAGGCTGAGGCAGGGGGATTGTTCTGAGTTTAAGACCAACCTGGGCTACAAAGTGAGCTCAAGGCCAGCCTGAACTGCATAGTGAGACCCTGTTTCAAAAAGCCAAAAAAAAAAAAAAAGTACTGGAAAGATAGTGACAAGCGGACTAGACTCGGAAGAAAAATGTGGCTGACTGCTGCCCTCTGGTGGTGATAAAGGGTGACACTGTAAACTCCTCTGACTTTGCCAAGGTGACACTCGGCCATCCCCAAGCCGCAGGGAGACGCAGCTGGGACGTCCCAGGAGGACGCGGCCTCCAGCGCCCTCCCCCTCCCCAGGGCGCCCCTGACTGCGCACGCGCCGAACCCTGTCCGGCATGGGGCGTGGACCTTGCTTTTTCCCCCAACCACTTTTAGTGTAGGAATTGGGAGAGGAGCCGGAGACGGACAGTGGAAGAGTGCGCGGGGAGGATAGGGACAGGCTGGGAGGGAGGGAGGCCCGGGGACCGGGCAGCTTGGGTCCGGACGGACGAGGTGGGAGCGCTGTCTCCGACCGGGGACTCCGGGCTGAGGGCGCTATCTACCTATCTGCCCCGCCAGGAGGTGAGGAGAAACGTGGGGGGCGCCACGCCCGGGGCGAAAGCAGGGCGGAGTGGGGGGAATGACCTAGCACGTGTCCGGCACTCGGAGAAGCGAGGGAGGGGGGCATAGAGCCACAAGGGTCACACACACAAGCGGCCATACCAAGGCCGCTTTTTTGGGTTTTGGGTTTGTTTATAGACAGGGTCTCGCTATGCAGTCATAGACTCACTTCGTAGCCCGGGCTGGCCTCAAACTCTCAGGGATCCTGCTGCCTCAGCCTCTCGGGTGCTGGGATGACAGGCGTGCCCCATCACACCCAGCACCTAATCTTTTTATTTTAATTTTTTTGTTCTGAGACAGGCTAAGCCGCTAACCTGCCCAGGCTGGGCTCAAGCTTGTAATGAAGTTTGGAGTATCAAACCCAGGATTTGAGGCCAGGCATGGTGGCACATACCTATAATCTCAGCGCTACATAGGCTGAGGCAGGAGGATGGCTGTGTTCAAGGCCAGCCTGACTAGTGAGACCCTGACTCAAAAACAAAACAGAAAGCAGAAACAGGGCTGTAAGCAGGCTAAGCAAGGGTTCTCTTACTGAGATACCTACCCAGTGCCCTGGCCTCAACTTTGTGCTCCTCCTGCCTCAGCCTCCCAGAGTGTCTGTGATTACAGGCACCACAGCTGGCTAGTTAAGTCCCCTGGTTCGGTGGCTTGCCCTGTTTCTTTTCCTCTCCAAAACAGAAAGCCAGGCATCCTGGGGTCCCTCCCCAGAGACCGAGAGCCCCTCCCTGTGACAGCCCAAATTCCCAGCGCGGGGGAGACCCGGCCCGGTTGGAATCACTCACCTCCCGTAGCTTTGTCCTGAGTGATCCGACCCTTTGGTGGTCGCCGAAGAGTTAGAGAGCAGAGAGGCAAGATCTCCAGGCTGCTCTCTCCTGAGGCGGGAGACAAGAATGAAGCTTCTGTGATCCCAGGGGTCCATTTCTAGTGCCTCCCAGGGTCAGCCCCGCCCGCCCCTCCCACCGGGGGGTGGGGCCTAAACTTGAAATTCCTCTCCTGGGGGGGTGGAGCCCCCAGGAAAGTTTTCCTGTAGTGTCCCACCGGAAGTACACAGGATGAGGATGAGGGGCTCGGGCTCAGCAATACCAGTCACAAACCCTCCTCTCTCGATCACAATCAAGACCCCCCAAAACACTAGACGGCACCCCCCAACTTCATTACTTTCGTAGTTCCCCAACTCACACAGCAAACAGGAAAGACAGCGGCCCAGAGAGGCCAAGCTATCATCGTGGGGCTTGCACAGCACCAAAATCAGGGTTTGAACTCGGGGCTCTCCTGAGCTCGCCCTCTTGATCCCTGAGTTTCCTCCGAGCTGGGAGTTTGTTGTCCGACCAGCGGGGGCAATGCTCCGTGCCCTGGTGCCAGGGAAGAATCTGGAACTTGAGTGTCCCAGAGACACAAGGGTCACGCACCTCCGGGCTGTCCCTGCCCGTGGCCAAGCTGAGAGAGTCCAGTCTCAGGGCAGCGAGGTGGCAGCTGCGGTGGAGGGGGGAGATATTTTTAGGTGACAGGGAAGCTGGCTCCTGGCACACCCCCAGCTGGCGGGCGCTGTGCCCCAATGCGGGCGGGGGTGCAGCTTGGGGATCCCGCGTGTTGGGCGGTGGGGCGCCGGGTGCTGGACAGGGGACAGAGGGGACCCCACGAGCCCCCACCCCGCTCGGGGACCGGCCCTCCCCACTCCGGAGCCCCGGACTCACGTGGGGCGGCGCGGCGGGGTCCGTCCCGGCTGAGTTCGGAGGCTAAGGAGTGGGGCACAGCTAAGGTTTGTGGGCGCAAGGGTGCTTGCGGGAATGGGGGGACGCCAGGTCTTAGCCACCCCCGGATTCCTGGGCTCCGGCTCACGACGCCCTCCGGGCCCCAAGGATTGTGGGTGATGTGTGTCCGCACGGCCCTCTCCACCTGCCCCCCATCCTCCCTCCCGCCGGCCGCAGCTGCCACCGCGTCCCCTTTAAATGCCCGGGAGCCGGAGCCCCAGCCGCGGCCAGCGCTGCGGCAGCTGCGGCACCGGGCCCGCCGCAGTCCCCGACGTCACAAGCGGCCGCCCAATCAGCGCGGCGCCGGCGCTCCTCGGGGGGCGGGGCGTGTCTAGGCCACGCCCCGGTTGCCCCTAGCTGGAGAGCAGAGCGAAGGTGGCTTTGGCGCCGCGGAGCGCGTGGGTGGGGACGCCCAGGTCCCCGCAGCCTCTCCCAAGGGGGATTGGCAGAGATCCCTTCTGCCCGGCCGCAGCTCAGCCCAGTCGGGTGGGGACGCGGCCGGCCGGGCCTGGAGAAGCAGCGCCGCTCCACGCGCGCCCGGGGCTGCCCTGGCCCTTCCCCAGACCACGGGTGGCTACGGACTCCCCTCCAACGCCGTGAGCAGAGTTGGGGGACCCCTTTGCAAATGAGATTGAAAATAAAAGCCCACTTCCTCTTCACCAGGTGTGGAGGTGCACGCCTGTTACCCCAGGAGGCTGAGGCAGGAGGATCACTGTGAGTTTGAGGCCAGCCTGGGCCACGTAGTGAGTTCAAGGCTAGCTTGGGTTACACAGCGAGGCCGAGGAGGCCATGCGTGGAAATTTTGCGGGCAGAGTGGGTAGGTGGTCTCCGAGGGCCGCAGTGAGCCCTGTTGGGATTGGTTTTTTCCACACATTGTGATGTTTTGTGTCCAGGGAAGACCTTTCAGTCTTCCACTTGGCCGCCCTTTTGGGTGAAGGTTCAGAACACAGAAAAAATGTTTTACCCAAGAATTCAAACCTCTCGGGCATGGTGGCCCACGCCTGTCATCCCAGCACTAGAGAGGCTGAGGCAGGAAGATTACTGCAAATTCGAGGCTATTCTGGGCTACACAAGAGTTCAAGACCAGCCTGAACTACTAAGTGAGACACTGTCAAAAAAAAAAAGACTTCAAACCTGACACCATGGAATTAAGAAAACTGGGGTCTGGGGGCAGGAGGCTGCCAGCGCCCCTGGGCCTGGGTCTAACAGCCCTTCCTAAGCCTTCCCCTGGGAGTTAGGGTGACAGCAGGGATTATCCTAATCTCTGCACTCAGGCTGTACATTTGAGCTGGGTGTGATGCACCTGCCTGTAATCCCGGTACCAGGGAGGCTGAGGCAGGAAGATCACAAATTCCAGCCCAGCCTGGAGAGTTTAGCAGCTTAGTTACTAGTGTATAGACCCCCACCAAACAGGAGGTGTGATATGTTTATTGTTGTTGGGCGGGTTTGTTTGATTTTGGTATTTTGATTGCTTTAAGATCTGAGCCTTAGAGTGGGGCGTGGTGGCGCACACCTGTAATCCCAGCGCTCAGGAGGCTGAGGCAGCAGTATCGTTGCGAGTTTGAGGCCAGCCTCAGCTACAAAGTGAGCTCAAGGCCAGCCTGAACTGTGTAGTAAGACCCTGTCTCAAAAAGACAAAAAATAAACAAACAAACAAAAAAACAAACAAACAAAAAATCTGAACTTTAATCTCTTCCAAAACTAAGTAGTTCTTGTATTTCATTGCAACTGGCAGTGATTAACTTTATTTATTGTTTCTTTTTGTGGCGCTGGGGATGAATCCAAGGCCTTGTGCATGCAATGCAAGGCTCTGCCACTGAGCTACATCTCCAGCCCGTTTCTGTCCTTTTTTGAGAGAGGGTCTTGCTATGTAGCCCAGACTGACCTTGACCTCAGAGTGATCCTCCTGCCTCAGCCTCCTGAGTCGCTGGGATTCCAGGCTGCGCCGCCACGCCCGGTTCCGGCTTTGTGTTTGTCGTTGAGTGAAACAAGTGCCCCCCTATGTCCTGGCTCCCGGCTGGTGCTTCTTGCGTTTCCTTACTTCATCATCACAATAACCGGCGGCTGCAGTATTGTCCCCGCTTGAGGACAAGGAAATGGAGACTCCAAGAGATTGAGCCGCTTGCCGGGGTCATGTCGTGCTGGGGAGAGCTTCAATTCAAAAGCGGACCGTCTGATGCAATGGCGGCTGTTTCCAAATGCCATGGTGGGCAGGGGAGGGCGGGCGGATCACTTCCTGTGGCTGCTGGCCGCCTGGAGTTTGTGCCTGTTCCTCACCATGTTGAAAGCTTTGAGCGGACGTCTCACTATGTAGTTGAAGCTGACTTCGGACTCACAGCAATCTTCCTGCCTCAGCCTCCTGAGTGCTGGGATGACAGGCGTGCGCCACCACGCCTGCCCTGCTCATCTTCCAGCTTTCTCCGCTTTCCCTGATGGTCTGAGTCAGAAAGCAGCTTGGCTGAGCCGCCCTGGGCCTGAAGATGGGAAGGGGTGGGGTGACCCGTGTAGTGACTGTCCCCTCCACACTCGGGGCGCTCCGCCCAAGGCTTGGGAGGACAGCATCCTCCTTGCTCAAGTTCCGCCGAACCGTGACTCAGCCGACCGGGGACAGGGTGATTCACTGGCCCAGGGCATCAGTGTTCGAGCCGGAGAGGCCTGAAATCTGGGAACGGGTGGCATTGGTGTCGCTTAGGGAGGTACACCGGTGACAGCAGGACAGCAGGGTTCAGCCACGTGGCCACCGGCCCAGGCGCATGTCGGGGTAACTTCTGGGCACACACTCCCCGTGGGCCCCTGGCAGATGGGTTCTAGCATTTCTGTCTTTTATATTTATTTTATTTTTTTGAGACAGGGCTTGCTCTGCAGTCCAGGCTGGCCTTGAACTCCCTCTGTAGTCCAGGCTGGCCTTGAATTTGTGACCCTCTTGCCTCAGCCTCCCGAGTGCTGGGATCACAGGCGTGTGCCACCACCCGCAACAAGATCTTGCCGGTTTTCAGAGTCCTCTGTTATTTGGTGGAGATCAAAGAGGGAGTCTTCGAGGCTCCTCCCTGAACCACCCAGCGGCTGCACAGCCTGTGCTTGCCCCGTTCCCAAGCTGGAGCCCAGGGTGGACATCTTCTGGGCAGGGCCAGGGTGGGGCCGGGCGCTCAGCCCACCCGGGAGGAGCTGAGCAGAAACCCCGGTGCCCTCCCCACAGCCGAGAAGCGTTTGGGATCCTCCGCCTGGGTCCCAGACTCCCCAGACCTGCAGAGCTGCCTGGTGGCTCCCCTGGGAAGGCGCCCAGGCTCTAGGTTTTTATTTCCAGCCTTGGGTCATGGATTGGCCTCCGCCAGCAGCTCACACACTGGCTCGAGGTTCCGCTAACTCGATAAGCCTGAGGGGGGAGTTGGTTATTCTTGTTGGTGCCTTGGTTTTTATTTTTCTTTGTGGTACTGGGGATTGAACCCAGGACTTCCACATTGAGCTACATCCCCAGCCCTTTATTTATTTATTATTTTATCTATTGTTTTTTGAGACAAGGTCTTGCCCAGGCTGGCTTTGAATTTGCAGTAATCCCCTTGCCTCAGCTTCCCAGACTATGGGGATTATAGGTGTCTACAACCATGACTGGTTTAAACCTGTCTTGGCATTTATTTATTTATTGTTTTCTTTTTGAGACAGGGTCTCCATATGCAGTTCAGGCTGGTCTTGAGCTCATTTTGTAGTCCAGGCTTGTCTTGAACTTACAATGATCCTCCTGCCTCAGCCTCCCAAGTACTGGGATTACAGGTGTGCGCTACCACACCCGACCACGCCCGGTTTCAGTAGCTCTTTGCTGCCGAGTAGCAGGGGTCTGGTCAGGGTGCAGAGCGTTGTGTCAGAGCCGGAGCCACTGCCCAGATGTTGTAACCCAGCCACCTGACCACGGATGTGCTCACAGAGGCAGGGCCAGCCGCAGGAAGCCACCGTGTCGGGCATTTTCAGCCCCTTGAAGGTCTCTGTTGAGGGGAACCAGAGGGCCCTGGATAGGCTGATCTGAACGTGCAATTGCGTTAGCCCACTTCCAGTTACCCACTAAAATAAGAGTCCTCCTAGCTGAGCGTGGTGGTGCACACCTGTCATCCCAGCACTGGGGAGGCTGAGGCAGGAAGATCGCCTTGCATTCCAGGCCAGCCTGCGCTACATAGTGAGACTGGGGGAGAAAAAAGAGTCCCTCATGTTGAACAGGCTTGCGGGGAAACATTCCGCCATTCAGTGTCTTCCTGAAAGTACAAGAAAAATGGGGCCAAGAGGGGTTAGTGACAAGCTCTATACAATAGGCAATGTGGCACTTTGAGTTGGGTGTGGGGTCGCATCCAGGAGGGACCTGGCCTCGGGATGTCTGCTAGTTTTTCGGAGGCGATGGTTGCGAGGGGAGAGGGTGGGCCCGTGGCAAAGAGCCTCCAACCCCAGCCTTTTTGGAGGTTGGGTCTTTCGTTCTGTTCATTCATTCACTCAGGAGCAGGCATGGCCTTAGACCACAGTCTTGTATTGGTGTTTCTGTTTATCTTATTTTATTTAGTTTTGTTTTATTTTATTTTATTGACATGGGGTCTTGCTATATAGATGAGGCTGGCCTCCTTCTCTCTCTCCCTCTCTCTGTTGAGCCTTGCTGTGTGTACTAAGTGTCTATCACTCACTCCTTAGCCCAGGCTGGCCTCAAACTTGTGTTGATGCTCCTGCCTCAGCCTCCCAAGTGCTGGGATTAAACTGGCTTGTGCTGGCATTTTGGGTCTAGGTTCGGGAATACTCCAGGGTTTCCTTTTTTCCTTCTTTCTTCCCTCCCTTCCTCCCTTCCTTCCCTCCTTACCTTTTCCTAACTTTTCTCTCTCTCTGTCGTTGAGCTCTGCTGTGTGTACTAAGTGTCTAGCACTCAGATGCATTTTTCTCCTAAACTTTCCTCACGGGTGCAATGCTTGCTGGTGGTGGAAACTCAGCCCAGTGTGCTCATCAGCGCCCCCACCCGGTTGGGTGATGCAGGCCCCTCTCTGGCCCAAATGATGACCCTGGGAGTCTGGAGCACGGGAGGACCCTGGCACCACAGCCCTGGGGCAGCTCCTGGGGGTGGTGAGCACACGCACTTGTGCACACACACACACACACACGTACACGGGCTCACACGCGCGCTCCAGGCCTGGGTTTTGCAGCTGCCCTGACCGGGAGTCTCTCTGACCGCCCCTCAGAGCGGGGACCGCAGTGCTAGCGGACAGGGATACCTTGGGGCAGGTCCATGGCTGCCAGGATGCCAACTCCACAGGTCCTCTGTGCCCACCTCACGGCTCTGAGTTCTGGCAGGAGGCAGGCGGATTGGCAGAGTGCTGGGGCAGGCGGGATCAGAAGCTGAGCGGCTCCAGGCCTCGGGGACGGGCAGGGCCCACTGAACACCGAGCGTTACAGAAAATAATTCTTGTGCTGCCCCTCGTTGTTTTTGGTTTGTTTGTTTTTAGTACTGGGGATTAAACCTAAGAGCCTCACGCTGAGCTACATCCCCAGCCCTTTTTAAAAATTTTGAATCAGGGTCTCATTAAGTCGCCCAGGCTGTGTTTGAACCTGCCACCCTCCTGCTTCAGCCTCCCAGAATGCTAGGATTCCTGTTTCTTGAGCATCTGCTGTGTGCCAGGTATGGGCTGGCGACTGTGGTAGCCTCTGAGGAGGCCTGAGCAGGGCCCCCTCCTGGTGTCCCCTTCGCCCCAGCCCTAGAGTGGGAAGTAAGGGGCATGGTGGCCATGGTGTAAGGTGATCCTCCTGCCTCAGCCTCCAGAGTGCTGGACTACAGGTGTGTGCTACCTTGGCCAGTACATTTGCATTTTGGAAACATAACTTTTGTTGCTGCTGTTGGTGGTCCCTACACACACACACACACACACACACACACACACACTGTTGGTGGCATGTGGGAAGGAGGGGCTGGGCTGAGCCTCCTGGGCTGGGGGTGATGACAGCCAACTTCAGGGCTGGCCCTGAGGCTGCTATACTGGGCTGCGGTGGGCGAGGGCTCCTCACAGCGTGCATTTGGCCACATTTGGGGGTGCGGAGGGCACTTGTATCTTGGGGTGGCCGCGCCTCCTCCCAGCGCCGGTGCCCAAGATAACAGGGCCAAGCTGTTTATGCAAAGCCGGGCAGGGCGGGGCAGAGCCGGGGCCGCTGCTGCCACAGATAGCGGTGGTGGAGGAGGCCGCCGGGGTGGAGTGGCCCGAGACCGACCCAGGAGCCTGGCGGCCAGCCAGGTGCAGGTGGAGGCCAGGTGGCTACAGGACGGTCGACCCTGTGAATGCTGTCCCCGGCCTGGGCAGTGTTGAGGTGCGGCTGGGTGGTGGCAGGGCTGGGGACCGGCCAGCCTGGAGTGACCTTCCAGAGGGGGAGGGGAGACAGGTGACACAAGGGCCGGGCGGGGCGGGGGTGTGCGCCATCTTGCCTGCACTAGAGAGACTTCTGTGGCCCTGTGGGGAGTTCACCGGAAACGTGTGATGTGGGCGTGGGCGCACGCCTGTCATCCCTGCACTGGGGAGGCTGAGGCAGGAGGACTGTCACGAGTTTGGGGCCAGCCTGCAGTACACAGCATTAAATGCATAGCAAAGCCCTGTCTCAGAAAAAAAAAGTGAGATGCTGTGGAAATAAGGAGACAGGCGGAGCAACAGCCACATCGGCCGCCCTGTCAGGAACGTGCGCTGGTCCCGCTCCCCCACTGAGCTCCGAGACACATGTCATTCCTCAGGCTCACTTTGCAGCCAGGGAAAACGAGAGCCCCAGGTCAAGCGCATGCCAGGCAGAGGACAGTGACGGAGGATGAGGACCCAGGGCATGGCCTGACTGCCCGGTCAGGTCGGGGAGTGACCTTCTGGTCTGTCACGGGGACCTGTGGCTGCCAGAGCTGCTGTCCTGACACACGGGACGGCAGGACGCGCTGGGAGGAGCTTCAGGTCGGGTGCCTGGCCGCCCCGAGTGACCAAGCTCCACTTCTGCGTCTGCAGCGTGGGGGCTCCTCTCCGCGCCCCACGGGTAGAAGTATGAGCACCTTCATGTGCAGAAGGTGCTTCACCTCAGCACCTCAGCACCACAGGGCTTTCTGGCTTTGAAATCGTCTCACTGTGCAGCCCAGGCGGGCCGTGAACTCCTGTTGATCCTCCTGCCTCAGCCTCCCGAGTGCTGGGATTATAGGTGTACGTCCGGCTACTGTTGTTTGTTTGTTTGGCTGTTGTTTGTTTGTTTGTTTGTTTGAGGCAGGGTCTTGTTGGGGATCATAGGTTCACAGTGGCTAGTTTTCCATACTTCCTAAGGGAGGAACGGAGGCTGGGATGATCCTGGGATGATCGGTAGCAGCCTTTTGAAATTTCCTGTTACTTGGCCGGGCGTGGTGGTGCACGCCTGTAATCCCAGCACTCGGGAGGCTGAGGCAGAAGGACGGTTCCAAGTTCAAGACCAGCCTGGGCTACAAAGTGAGCTCAAGGCCAGCCTGAACTGCATAGCGAGACCCGGTCTCAAA